ATGGTTAAATAAACAATTGGATATACCAGAGTTTTCCGATCGAAAAGTTTTGATTTTCCAGAATCCTATACCATTGAAAAGTTGTTTTTTCCCCATATAAAACACATAGAAAACTTTAAGCGACCTCTAAATATGTTTTGATTTCAAACTAAAATTCTGACTTAACAATTTTTTTTTTTGTTTTTTTAACACCCTAATGTACATACTAATGTGCACTTGTGACTGCAGCACATTCCAACGAAAACATCAAACATAAAAGCAGAGTAAAACAAGCAACAAAAAAGGAGATGAAAAACAGAAAAAGTACTGAAATCAGCAAAGAAAAAATTAAATAAACTTGCCGGCAGCAGATGTCAGTAAGAATGCTGCCGCCAGTTGAAAAAAAATATATATTTATATATGCTTTCATGCAAAAAGTAGGTAAGTGCATATGTTAGTATATGAGTGGACAGATAGACATATGTTTTATACATAAATGAATGTAGACACAAGCGATAAACGCCTGCTTGCCGATAAGAACGGATAAGAAAGAGCAGAGTACTTATTCTTTACAAAATCGTATAGCCAAAACGGATTGCCCGAAAGCAAGAAAACTCACATCAGAGATGATGGCTAAGCATACGTGTTCTTGCTTGCTTAGGCACTGACTCACGAGTGTGAGACGACAACGACGACGACGACGACGACGATCAGACAGGCGATCTTGCGATTACAAATTGTAAAGGAAAGGTGTATCAAACTGATTGAAGCGAAACCAAGAATCTACAGGTAGCTGAAGTAACTATATGGACGTATGTATGAGCGGTTGAGGGTTTGCCAAGAGTGCCAAGGGCAGTGCGCTGTTTATCAGAAGAATGAGAGGAACAACAACAGGTGAGAGATTGAGAATAAGCTACTCTCTCTCATTTTAATATCTTTCCATTTGCAGCAGCGCATTTTTTGAATGCTTAACTAATTCACCTGCTATATTTTTCCAAGCAAAATTTATTTGACTTACTATTTGTTGGTGTTTTTAGCTTCTTATTTCTTATGAGTTCTGGATCTGCAGAAGAAATTGTGGAAAAATTAGCTACTATTTACTTATACTTGTAAGAACACATAACAAATTTTGCTGAAAAATAAAAGAAACGTAGCATTTGTTTGCGATGGAGAAATGTAAGCGCAGTGTCGATCGGCACTGGCCAACAGCTACATCACGCGATTCTCTTGTTTACCTGCTTTTTATTTGTACGTTTTTATGGTTTATGATTTTTTAGTTTTATTTCTTTTTTAGTGCTGGCAAGCAAGACTACGAGCGAGATGTGGATAATGACGCTGGGGAAATGCTGCCCAAAAGTAACATAAGTACAATGAAGCGAATTAATTTATAAATCGCTGATTCATCATTTTGTTTTTCGGTTACTTGGCTTAATATAGAACGTTTGAATACACAAAGGGAATAGGTACAATAATTGTGTACGAAAAAGAGAAAAAGTAATTCTTCAGAAGCGCTGGAAAATTTTCATGGATGATTTTATTGGAACAATTAGGGTGTCTAGTGTTAGTTTTAGCTCTCAAATAGTATGATGGAAAATATTCGGGAAGTATTTGGAGGTATCTGTGTTGTTATTTAAATGTAGTTGTAGAAATCTAGGTAAGGTTAGGTTAGATTGGAATGGTCGGAGAGTAGATCCTGCGCCACAGATACGCTAATATGGGACCCTTGTCATTAAAATGCTAACTCGGCATACATATGTATGTACTTATAAGGAGGTGGGTGAAAAATGTTAGGGTATCAGTTGAGATAAAAATGCCTGTTTAGATTAGTTTCCATCTCTAAAGTAAAAGTCTAAGTAAAAAATTTCACTTAATTTACTCACCCCCTTTCTTTACGGTAGATTTTCAAAGAAACAATAGAAAGTGTTATTTTTTCAATTCTAATCAACTCTGCAAGTGTTATGGTATTTTCAAATGAAGGTAGGCGCAGCTCCGCCCAATTTAACGGTATGAACTAAATTGGCCACTTCAGAATACAAAAACCTTAAATTTCGTAGCTAGTCTTCATACTATATCAACGGCAGCCCGTTTGAAAACGCCCTAAGTATCTCCGAAAATGGCTCAAAAGCGCTCAACTTCATAATTTGGTTGAAGAAGGCGTATGTCAGAATTTGTTTGCAAAACGCCCTAGCTCAACTGAAAATAAAGTACTGAAAATGTGTTGATATACAGGCGTTTTTGAGGTGGCAGCTGAGATAGGGCGTTTTTGAACCGAATTCTGAAATAAGTAGGGCGTTCTGGAAAAAATTTCTGAGATAGAAGAGCGCTTTCGAACCGGTTGCCGAGTTAGGTCGATCTTCCACTCAGCCGTCGATATACAGTATTGGACATATCTATAGCACCCCCTTTCAAAGCGATATTGTTTGCCACTTATGTTTAATTATTTGTTTTTAAGAATTTTCAATTAGAATACAGTTCATTCTCTAACAAAACCTATATAAACCCAGGTTTTAAACTTTTTAAAGGACCGAAAAAAGTGCAACAAACATCCACTTAAATTTCAAACTTTTTTCTCAGAAGCTCTAGAATTTTTTTGAGTACACAGTTTTATGGCGCATTCAATTTTAGTCCAATAATGTGCATGTTTCAAGTCACTAAAGATTACCGTTGATTTTTTAAAGTTATTCCACTTTGGAAATAATAATTTAAATTGAATTTGATTTTTTAAGTTTTCAAACCCGTCTTGCGTTTTTTCATCCTTATTGCAGATAATATTTTTTTATTGAATTTCGTTTGACATCCATATCCATATCGTAATAAATTTACTGATGAAATTTAGTTCAACTTTTAAACTGAAATACTTTCCCGAACGAACCAAGAGGGATCCAAAAGCCTTGAAAGCTGCTTGGTTTTCGGAATAGATATTCACCTCCTTGAATGGTATTACACTCGGTAGCAAGTCATCCAAAACATATGGGTAATTCCAAACTGGCGTGACACTCGTACGACAAAATGTTAAAAAAAAAATATTGAAAAAGTCAAAATTTTAAAAAGGTTTATCTAGATTTACATAGCAATTAAACGGCCACTTATTCAGTAAAAAAAAAATTACAACTGTTGGTAGTAGCGATTTAAAGATATTAGTAAACTTACGCGCTGGCGTGACGTTACAAAAAACCGAAGTGGATTTTGACTTCGGTTACAAAATTGCAAAACTATGCGAATTGAACAAGACTGTTTGTATAAAAGTTTTTGTAGTAATATTGAAAATTTTTAAGGTTAATTTTTGCAAGTTTTTAATTGTATAAATCTTTTCTGCTTTATGTTTAATCAGCTGAATTATCTGACGTGACGTTACCTGGCGTTACTTTACTTAAATTTCAATTGAAAAAGTTTTGTTATTATTGTTCTTGAGAGAATTTTTAACGGGAGGAAAACATGCATTTTATGTCGAACGTACTTTTTCTATATATGTCTTATTACTAAACATGCCAAATGTGAAACAAATCAGAGCATAAATACGGTTTTTCAAAATATCTCGACCCTGGCGCCGCCTAATCAGACCATTTTTAGCAAAAAGGTTTCTGCTTACATAACTAGTATATATTATAAAAAGCAGCCAAATCTTACTATAAATAAATATCTGGGCTTTTAATTTTTTTTTTCGCGTAAACTTTTTTCTGGGAAACACCCATATATGACTTTAGAAGGTTTGAGTTTGAATTAAAAAATAATAAGTTTCGCTTCTTTTTTTAAGTTTATAGTAAAAGGACATCCTTAACTACACCTATGGCCATTTAGTCATTTTTATATGATATGATAATGATATATGATATGATAATTGGAAACCCAATGAATAATTACTTAAAATGGAAAATACCTTATCTCGAGATAAATTGCTTTAATAAAATGCAACAGATATATACACATGTATGTATGTATGTATGCATGCAATTCCTTTAGATCACGAAGAACACTTTCACTGTCATTTGCCAAAAATAAGAAAGGCACTTTAGACCAGAAAACAGTCACTACAATACATAATTACAAGCATCGATTTTTTGCTACAGCAACAAAATCATAAAAATCCACGCATGAAACACATAAATCTGGGAGCAGCAGGTACTCCACCAACTCAGTGGGTTGTCCGCATGCCGCAGCATTAATGTGTCGCCTTCGTCCTTCAAAGCGCGTACTACGACGCAGCGGATGTAAATACAAACATAGAAACGTATTTATTACGTATGTATGTGTGTTTGTGTGTTTGACAACCCTCAAAAGGCAAAAATTGTGGGGCAAGGATAGCTAAAACGAGTGTGTATACCTACACAAGTTTAGTAGCAAACAAGATGAAGCAAAAGATGAAAAATAAGCAAAACAAAATGGGGAAAAACGACGCCAACCACCCCAAAATAAAATCCACCCCACCTTAGCCACAGCGCGAAGCGAGGACAATGCAAAGGAATTTGAATTTCATAGTAGCAGTTGCGTTGTCCCGGCGACTGCGTCTGCGGCTGCGGCTGAATTGAGCCTGCAAACTGCAGACTGCAGCTGTCGTCTGTGATGCGTTGTCATGGCAACGCCTGCTGCCTGCTGCTAAGCTTCATTGATAAATTGTATGGAGCGCACCGTAGCTGTAAGGGGGTGGTGGGCTGTTGGGCATGGTGTCGAGGCTTGGACAGACGAGTGAGCTATTCAAGGGTTGTTTGTGAAAAATTTGCTGCCCCAGCTGTCTGTGGCTAAGAGCAGCACTTCTTGTTGCTTTTTTAATTGGAGCAAATGCATTCCGATGCAGGCGTAGGGCAGCTGATTTTTGCATACAAGCGAGGAGGGTGGTGGCTAACACCAGCGGTGGCGGCTGCAACCAGCAGTACCGGTGCTTGGTAGCTAGCTCTGTGCGTTTGGCATTGCAAACATCAACGGTTTAGTTACACAAATTTTCATTGGCACCAGCTGAAGGTTTCAGCTTGTAGATACACTTTGCACGCTTTTACATTTTTTTTTTTAGTTAACATTTCACTTACCTATTAGTTACGCCTTTTTACCGATTAGACTGTTTAACGCACTTTTTTTTTGTTGCTCTTTTGGTTGCTGCGTTTTTCGCATTTCTCGCCGCTTCGCTGTAGCTTTGAAATTAATTTTTTTAACAGAAATACTCAACACACAGAAAGTATCTTTTGTCAAGGTTTATTTCGATAGCTCCCAAGCTGCTTTTAGCAGAATTTATTTTTCGCCACCTTAAAGCACTTTTTCGCTTTTAAAAATTTTTCACTTTACCTTTTTATTTCTACGCACAACTTTTCACTTGCTTTTTATCTTATCTTGCACATTTGTGTATATTTTCCACCTTTCTTTTTGTATGTAATGCAGATAAGCATTTAATTTACACGCACACACGCTTTTTTTAACTTCCTTTAATTAAATCGCATTTAGCTACATATGTACTTTGTGCTCTTATCACTCACTAATCCATCATTTTTTTGTGTCTCATTTATCATTTTTTGTATCACATTTAATTGTAAAAACACAAAACTTTTTTATTTTACACAATTCCCAACAAGTTACATATCGACACATTTTTTTCCATTAATTGTTTGCATTAAATAATAACAAAACGAATAGGTAAATATGCAACAAATTGCCAGCGTAGCGTTTTTTCTGCAGCCACAAAGAATTTTCGCAAAGTTGCATTGGCAAAAAAAAGCAGCGCAGTCAGTCTAGCATTTGCAAAAACACACAAAGCGCGAAGGAACGCCAACGTAGCAGACGACAGCGAAAGCAGCTGTAGCGCGTCGCAGTTTCGCTTGCACTTGGCAAGGCAGCAAAGCGTACTTTTTTCCACGTTAGCACTTTATACAGCTGCGCTGCGGCGCTAAAAAATGCACAAACACTTTGCAATGCGGCTTTTGGCTTTTCGCTGTTATACACAAAACTATGCAGATAATTTGCAAAAATTTAGAATTTGCTTTTTCGCAATCACCAGCTAAGGCAAGTGCACGTTTTGCGATCAAACTTTTCTGTGCATATTTCTTAACACAAGTACATACCTACATAATTTTTTTCGCCACAAACTTTCCAGACACAAATGTATTCTTAAAATTTATCACAAAGAATGGCTCATAAAGCCAATTTTATTTTAATGCCAGTCATTCGCCCAGTAGCATCATTGCATCTAATTTGTTTATCAGTTTTACAATTTGTTTACTTTTTCGCTTCCTTTAATTTATAATTTCACATTCCAAACATTGATTCTTAATTCACTCTACAAAAATGCGAAAATTCAGGATGCCAATAAAATTTAGACCAATTCAGCCGACGCGCGTTTTATGACTGAAACACAATTCGCCGTGCAATGATTTTGCTTTGCCACAAATTACTTCAATCGCGAATGTGAAACGTCAAGAAGAGAAAAAGAAGAAAAAAGAACAAGAGAAATGCATCACCCTATACTTCCGGTAGAGCATTCCAGTCAGAGAACGTTTATAAATGAGAAGGCGCATTTCCAGTGGACCGCTTTTGCAGAGAACGTTTATAAATGAGAAGGCGCATTTCCAGCAGAGAACGTCTATAAATGAGAAGGCGCATTTTCTGTGACCGTTTTTGTTGCGCAAAAATTTTGGGGCCAAATATACCACACGTCGACGAGTGCACCACTCGACCGACGGTGTCGGTAGAGAAGTGTCGGCTGCCACCATACCAAAAATTTTTCCGTGCCACCACACTTTGAGCAAATTTACCATAGTTCAAAGCAAAATGAAAAAATAAGAACGAAAAAGGAAAGAGGAACAGAAATATAATAAGCAAAAGGCAGAGGGGATGCTTGCGGAGGCAGGCGCGTGCTTGTGTCGGATCAAAACAAACTCTAAAATAAAAATGGAAGTCAGAAGTCAGAACGACAAGTGTGGAGTAAGAAGCGGGAAACGGGGAATGGAGCGGGCTTTTGTACATTTGCTTGCTTGCCGAAAATATGATATTTGCGTGAAATCGATTTGCTGATTGTTGCAAATTGATTTTTGCAAACATGTATGAATTTTTCTATTTCAGCTAAGTTGATAAGATTTTCTAAGGCATTTTTTGATTTTTTTCCGCAATTGTCTAAAGTCGTGTAAAATGGGCCTTTTTATAAAAACGATTTTATTATAATTTATTTAAACATATGTATGTATGTATATATTTACATTTATTATTTATTTATTTCTTTTATAATTGTATTTGATATTTTAATATAATTTAATATTAAGCCAAATTCAATTGTTATTGTTAAATACACATACATATTAATATAATAAAGAAATGTTAATAAAATCGACTTCTTTTTAACGGTCCACTGGAAATGCGCCTTCTCATTTATAAACGTTCTCTGCTTTTATTTCTCTTCCATGGCGCAGGGTTGCATTTTCAGCGGAAAAAGAATTACAATGGATGGAAAGAGAAAAATGTCCCGAAGCAGTTGCATTTGAGGTTGTTGTCTGGGCTGGAAATTTGCATAGGGTTCCCCACTCACAGGGTGAACTTGATGATAGTTTTTTTCATTTCCGTTATGCGAACAAATTTTGTTATGTTTTTTTTTATCTTATTTTCTTTTGTCTCTCATCCTTCTTGTATATTTTCGAGTTTGACAGCTGAACCCCGCCATTTATTTTGCATATCAACCAAAGGCAGACGCGTGATTATGACGGTATTTTTATTTAATAAATTGTGATTGATTGGTTAAAATTAAAGTAATAAAGAAAGTTATAACTAACAAAGTGTAAAGTGAAGTGGAATATAAAAATGTATTGGTGAAGTGGCTGCCTTAATTAGAATAGGAGTGATAAATGTAATCTAATTTCCGAATTTAACAAAAAAGGGCATATTTCAAGCAGAATTTCACAATAAATTAGTGGCCGAAAATTACAAAGGTAGGTGTTAAAATAATTTCTAGGCCCTTGACTACAAGTGTGTGGAAATTTTTTTTGGATCGGGTCATCCCTTTGGACGCAATATGCCGAAATAGTTGGGCCACTTACTAAACAGTACCCCTTTTATCTTTAATTTTTCAAATAAATGAGAATTTTGAGTACGCTGTGTAAATTAAAGCACTATATTTTAGTGCAAATTAGTGAAAGCTTCAAGTACTTAGCTACTTCAAATAAAAATTAGAAATACATAAATAAAAAACAAAACATTTGCTGCATCAAGGAAGTTTCATTAAAGATTATTTTGTTTGCTTGCACTAGTTCATTGTATGCATTGTACATATGTACATATGTATCGCTAGCTTAGAGCGAAAAGTTGCTAAGTCCATTTTTAAAAATTGTGTAGAAGCGGAAAAATTTTCTTTTCGCCATTTTCATGAAGTATATAGAAAAATTTTAAATAGAACACTTTGCCTACTTAGAGCAAAGCAAAAACCCATGCGACTCAAAAGGATTCGATCTTTATCAAATTTTTTGCATTATTTTGGACTTATCGGGTTTTCGTTGCCTCTTCTGAAAATCGAAAATTTGCCTTTCATTATAAACGAGAAAAAAATAAAAGAAAAATATCGCGATACATAATTCAATAACCAATTTCCTTAATTCAAATGGATTTTTTTTAAACAGGTGGCAACCCTCCCACATGAAGCTAAGAAATAAACTCTTTAATTTGAACTGCACTTTTTATTGGTGGCAACTCAAGGAATATTTTTTTTTTTTAAAGAGTTCCAGTTTTTTATGCTTTTTTATGCAAACAGATGCCTGAAAATAAGAGTTTTATTTTTTAAAATTTTGAAACCAACTTATACCTTTAGAGATTTTTAGGGATGTTTCATTTTTACTTTTTGAGATATTCTCAGTATTTCTTGAGAGCTATTGCGATATTTTGGGACTTTCTAATTTTTTTTGTACACTTTGTGTTTTATTTGTCCGAAGTATTTTGTTTCGAGATAACTTTAAGTCGAATAAAATATGATTGAAAGGAACAACGTAATTTTAATAAGGGAGGGTATAGTCATTGTTCTGGGTATACAGCTACAGTTGCTGTACTCAATCCTCCCAACGGAGGAGAAGGACAATGTGTCCAAGGATAGTTTCTATGAGCGCATAGACGAACTTCCCCCATCATGATATCAAAATCGTACTTGGCGACTTCAGTGCCAGGGTGACCAAGGAAGGGATATTTAGTCTTCTACATTTGGAAAATTTAGCCTCCACGACGAAATGTCCGATAACGGATTGAGGCTCATCGACTTCGCCTGAGCCCGAAACATAATTTTACTTAGTTTAAAACAATATTTAACAAGGAAATTTTTTTGCTAGAAGACAAACCGGTTAACCCGAGGCCACATCGTTAGCAAATCTTTCAAGACTAAGCTTTAAACATACTGTCCCATATTTTCTCAACACTTCCGACGAACACTCTGAGCTGGCTAAGATGGCATCAAAACTTTATGTACAATTTTGAGGTTAATGTTATAAATTATTTTATATTTTTGTTCCTTTAATTACATATGTACTTTGTTTAATTTTTATTCACAATCGGGTTAATTTTTTTTTTACAAAATATAAGTATGTATTTACAAATTTGTACGATTTCGAATTTAACAGAAACTAACCGGAAAGGAGTTACTCTCCCTCCTCAAGGCTCACATTCATCAATTCCTTGGTTATTTCACTCTCAGTTTTCCTCTCACTCTGCTGTTCTGAAATAGTTTGCAATGCCAACTCCTCGGGCGGACGTGGCGTAAAACCCGTAGGGCCGCCTAAATTCAAAGGGCCTCCTTTAAATGGCGCAAACGGCGGCTGCAGCAGCATCTGCTCCAGTGGCACCGGTGTGACGATGGTTATTGGCGCCTCAGTACCTGAATTTGTAACTGGTGGCGTTGTTGTTGTGCTTGGAGCAGTAGTGGTGGCCATTCGATAGAGCATTTGCAGCTGCATCATTGACTTGTCTCCATCAGCCAAATTTGGTTGCAACTTCTCCGACTGTTGTTGCTGCTGGTGCTTTTTCGCTGAGATTTGTGTGAATTTCGGCGTTGATTTCTTTTTACTCACCGCAATACCAGCGCTAGCGTCGTTGTTGTGATTGCTATTCATATTCGAGTGCATAGCTTTGGACCAATTCTCCAACCAACTCGCTGCTGTAGGCTCGGTTGATGTGATTGTGGTGACGGCGTCAGTGGTGGTGCTACTGGTTAGCTGTTTGAGCGCCTCTTGCGCCTGCTTCCGCAGCAGATAGTCTCGATGCGCTTTGCTAATTTGTCTTTTATTGAAATTATTTTCCGAATCAGCATTCTCGCCGATCGGACGTGTATTTTTCTGTGGTCCTAATTCGAGTAGTACTTGAAAGTCGGCATGATTGCCGAGACGAAAGCCGAAGCCGAGGCGAGAGTCGGTACCTGAGGTGGGGTGAAAGTATTGAGATTAGTGGGACTTTGGATGGACAACAAAGCAAATAGTGGGTGAGTTTAATTACCTTTTTTAATAGGTGGTATATTCGAATAGATTAACGATAGTATGGAGGGCAGCTCCTGTGGCACAACGAGTGGTTCGGCGCTGGGTACTGAAAGAAAAAAAATTTGTTTTGTATTAAAGCAACAACATCTTGGTACAAGGAAGGTGAAAGAATAATGGAAAGAAGATAGACTACAACTGGGCCTCCCTCGATTTTTGATTACTTCAATACCTCAATTAACTCCATTGTCCATATAGTAACATTGTAACCTCTTAAATTTAGGGCTTGACTTGTAAACTTTTGTTTCCTCCTATTTCGATTGACATTCCAGAAAATAACGCCCATTCGGAAGTGACTTGTACTGGCAACTTTATGGGGAAGGATACGTAGAAAACTGCCTCTGAAACTGTCTTCATTTCTTGTTGGTTTCCAAGGGCTGGAGAGATGGCAAGATAGTTCGAAAAACCTTTTTATTCTAGCACAAAAGTATTAGAAAAAAGCTATCTTATTCACCACTCGTGGTGAAAAGCTATTGTGAGAGAAAACACTTCTATATCATGGCCGAGTGGGCAAAGCACAGGCGTGCCAATTGAGGGACGCGAGCTCGAGTCCTGGCGCAGCGGATTTTTGTTGTTTTTTTTTAAATGCCTTTTTATTTAATTTTTCAGATTTTCAATTTTACAGGATATATGTATGTACATATATATTTTTCAATTTAATTTAATTTTTAGAAACTAATTTTATGCATTTCTTTCTCTTTTTCATAAAATTTTTTCTTAACTAAATTTGTTTTAATGGTTTGGTTGTTATTGTTTTAAAAAGATTATTTTTTTAATTTCATTTAATTTTTAGGAAATTATTTTATTTTTTTATTGAAAAAAAAAATTATTTTATTTTTCTAGAAAATTTGTTTTAATTTTTAAATTTTATTGTGTAAAAAAGAAAAAATTTTTTTTTAAATTTACTTTTTAGAAATTTTTTTATTTATTTTTTATTTTTATTTAATTTGTTATTCTTCTATTAATTTCATTTTATTTAAATTTTTTAGATTTTATTATTTTAAAAAGAAAAATATATATTTTTTATTTCATTTCATTTTTAGGATGTTAGCAGATTTTTCAGTTTCAAGGCGTTTAAGATAGTTGCCAGAATTGACAATTGTCTTACGAAAGACTGTGGTGAGTTGAAAGTTGACAGTTGCCAGAATTGCTCTGTAAGATCGAGATTGAGGTGTCAAATTATAAGGCTTGGCTTGTAAATGTAACCTTTTAGGTATTTTTACTGCCGCGCGGTTAATTCAAAACATTTACTTGTTTTCTTTGGTTATAACCATTTTGTTAGCACAGATATTAATCTGCTCCCTCTTATGCAATAAACTTGATTTAGGGTGAATTTCTCAATGTCTAAATAAGCGCTATTTATCATATAATATTTTCAAGTTTATGATACATATTGCTTTTCAAGACAAATATGTATTCCAATTGAAGCAACATACTCTACCAACCAAAACTAATATTTAATTAAGACAAATTAAACCAAAGACCTAAATGCCACACCGGCATTCCAATGAAATTTTTGTAATCCCTCATCTAACGCACGCAGCGCAGAGACAGTGGGGACAGTGGTGCTACATACTCTAATGTATGCACTTATGTATGTACATTTGTATGTAATTAAAATTATGTAATACAGTCGTAAAGTGAGTTGGGCTTGGTTTAATGGCAAGTCAACGCAAAGCGTTAAACAAAAAAAAATTAACATTATCTTTTGGTAAGAAAATAATAGGCTTGATTCCGTGCCTCTCGGACTAGTAAAAGTGTCAAATAACAAAAATCTGCTCACGGCGAGTAGGGATCGGTTTCAAATAAAATCTGGTAAAAAATCTTAAGTTCGGACTGGTACGTGATCAGGCCTAATGTGTTCATGCGCTTGTTTGTTTTTTTATCTCAATCAACTTTGTTTTAGTTTCTCGTTGGTTTTGGTGCGCTTATTCGTTTTAAATAAATACTTGGTTAATTGCATGTATGTAGTAATCGCTGGCATTTAAGAGTTTCAAATTTGCATTCCGCCTAAAGTTGAACACCTTGAGCTTTACTAGACAGACGAAATTCTTACGAGTTTTTCTTAGATTTGAGCTCCTACCTAAGATTGACGTACAAACAGCTAATAAGAAAATCTTTAAATTTGTAATGTACTCAACTTTGGTGTAAAAAAATTCATAACTCAAATTATTGTAGAGTGCACCCCATAATGCTATACTTAAATATTGCGCAATACTCAGAGCTCCCATTGTGATTTTTTTCATTTTTTTTTGAGATGGCATATTTTCAAAAACTAGTTTGTTTTATCAAAAAATGTGTATGTTAAAAATTTTTTAAGAAACAAATTTGTTTTTATATTTTTTTTTCATACAGAATTTTGATGTGTGTATGTGTGGTTTTTTTCGAATTTTTTCTTCGCCCCGTTCTCGAGATATTTTTAAAACTATTAAATCGATTTGTTTTTGTGCTGTAAAGTTTTTAAAAATGTATTAATCAAGCTCAAATTTCATATTTATTTATTATTTATGTTTATCCATCAACCCTAAAACTTTGAAACAAATCAAACACATGAAGTGGGGTTCACACCGTTTTGTATGGATTCGACTTTTCAAACAGCTGGCAACCCTTTTCAAAAATATTTTCAAACTAAAATCTTTTAAATCTCATTCGTCTGACATTGGGATACAAATATTAATAAATAGATGAATTAAATTTTAATTTGATTTTCAAATACGCGGCAACCCTCCTAGATAAACTTTTTAAATATGGCCTTTCCAAATCCATTTTGATTGTTACACATCTTTTAATAATTCATTTAGCTTATGAAAAAATGCGAATTTTACTGTTTATACCGGTGGCAACCCTCTTCAAATACCTCGAAAACATTCCAATTGTTAAAATAAAAGATACATATCTTACGTAGCGTACATATCGTAGTAGCGTAATTTAATTAAATTCGACTTTTCAAACACGTGGCAACCCTTGGCAAATATATTCAAACCAAAACCCTCTAAAACCTTTTTCTTCTGACACCCAAGTTGGGACACATACACATTTAAATTTCCTAACTGGATTAAATATTTTAAACATGTGGCAACTCTCCTCAATATACATAGTTCTGAAATAAATCCATTCAAACTCATTTCGTTTGATAAGCACATTTTAATAATTTCAGTTTAAATTGTAAACGGTGGCAACCACGAAAAAGATTCTTAATGCTCAAACTAAAGATATCCTCACACTTTTTCGTTTGACACCAAAGTTTGAGTATTTCATATAACTTTCTATAATTTAATTACAATCGAATTTTTAAACCGGCGGCAACCCTGTTCAAAATATTTTGAAATTTAAACCTTTTTAAACCTAATTCATTTGACACCCAAAATGTGATACATATTCCGATAGCTATTGCCTTAATTTAAATTGAATTAGATTTTTTCAACAACTGGCAACCCACCTATTTGTAGTTCAAAAACATTTCGATTCATACCCTTATTGTAATAATGGGTTTAACTTATTAATTAAGTTGACTTAACTATAAGTGAGCCCTTGAAGTGAAGAAGGCGGAGTGGCTCCACCGATGCTAAGCTCCCTTTCTTTTTGTGTTGATAGAGAATACCCACTGGTTGGTTACCGCATCTCAAACTTGGGCTGCTCGCGTTTTGCGTACGGAAACGGGGGATTCGGGATCGAGTGTAGCCCAGTAACTCCATTTCTCAGAAAAACGACCGTACCCCGTTCCACTTTCTTTTCTAAATATCTTAATAATGATTGGCAGTACAATTTCGAAAAATGTTTCATTTGATTTTCGGGTTTTGTGCTATTAGCTGAAGGTTTGAGCTCGAAACCATGACCTAGCACAAGTCTTTTGGATTACCTAGTATTTACAAATGAAATATTTTTGTAGAAAACCACACCACTAGTCTGGTACTGGAAAAAATAGAGATCTCTCGAAATGGTTTCAAACAAAAGAGGTTAAAACAATATACATTTGCAAATACTTTGCACCTTCCTCAACGCATCCCATAATGGCTTGGCGATAAGATATCTGCCAACATACATATCTACATATAAATAGCCATTCCAGTTTATTGACTTTACAACCGAAACATAGGCGCAGGTCTTCTATCCAATTACGTTAATAGACTCAAGCGTATGGAATCAGCAGACAAAGCAAAAAAGATGCTGCTTCAGTCAAATAAATATCATAAGCGTTGTTCAGGTAGTTAGTACGTGTGAATGTAGATAGTCTAAAGCAAAAAAATATATGTATTAGGAAAAAAATCACCAAACTAGTCGACCTTGACACAATGACGACACAGCAAAGCACTTTGTACGGCCAAAAGGCTAAAAGCCAAGAAGCCAACGAGATCGACGACGACGACAGGTAGGGAGCGCTGAGTGGTGTAAGCAAATACGAACACAATAAGTATGTAGTAGGTTTGAAACCGGTTTTGCATTTGCTCAATAGTGATCGACTGCAGTGTGCGGGCTATTAAAAACAATTTTTGGGAGTTTGCAACAATAGGACAGACTCTAAAGAGCGAGTCGCCTAACACTTAAGCATATATATATATAGTATTAATTTATAAAAAGTTATGCAGAGAGCGCAGGAGATTAAATGTGATAATAGAGACTGTCTACCAAATAAAGATACTTTCATACATACATACAGTGACTCAAACAAATGACCACGTTTTTTTTTTTAATATTCGTAATATTTTTCGATCTAAATTTTTTTTTGTTATTTTTCTATAAAAATACCGTCCAAGCTTTAAACAAAACCATATAAACCACAATTCAAACTTCATGCAAAATTTAGGAAAATTCAACAAATTTTCATCAAAATTTCAACTTTTTAATCTAAATCTTTAAAATATTTTTGAGTACGCAGTTTTATAGCCCTTACAATTCTAGTCTTATGAAGTGCAAGTTTCAACCGGCTAAAAAATCGCGTAGATTTTTGAGAACATTTTTTTTGGAACTACTTTTCGTTTTTTTTTTTTGTAATATAACAAATGTAATTTACAATAACGGGCGCAGATTTTTTGAAATTTTGTTGCTAAC